TTTAGGTAGGCGCGATGTTGGCATGCTATGGATGGTCGGAGATAATCCAAGTTAGCTATCTTTGGTCAATTGAGGATTATAGAAATATTGGATTAGATTTTGATTATATCTGAGTAATAATTCAGGAGGATTAGATTATCTCAGAGTACAATTTACATAAATGAAAAACATAAATAATCAGAAATCAAGAATACAAAAATATAAAATAAATAAACATGAGAAATATTTGATAAAATAAGCGGGATTAGTGAATTGTAAATTGATTAGAACTAACGTTGAATTTTGATTATACCCGAGTAGTAATTTAAATGGATGGATTATTTCGGAGTATAATTTACATGGAAGAAAAACATAAATAATGGCAATTGAATTTACTTGGTTAGATTAAAAGATTAATGCAAATTTTTTTGAAGAAAGTTTGTTATATGCACGAGAAACAAATGTCAAAATCCTAACATATACAATATATACAAAAAAAATAAAATATATATAAGATGAAATAAAATATACCAAAGTCAAAATAAATTGTCTGATCTGGCCTGGCACGGACAGTATTAGATTTCGGGGAAGGGAGGGTTTGATTCTCCCAAATGTACAGGCCTAGGGTGGAGCAGACACTTTATTTAGAAATTAGGATTAAGGGTCTTGATATTGGGTTTTCTTCTGTTCTTATTCTGATCTGAAATTAGAAAAAATAATCGCCCGATGGGCGAGAAGTATAGTATCTGTTATGTACTGATTGTTTTTAGTTTGTGAGTATTAATAACACTGCAAGATTTGCCATAGTCCAACATGTTATCAAGATATTGTAGCATAAGTGGTAACCACAAAACCCACTGAATCACACCAAAGAATCCACTGTTTCCATGCCAGGACATACTGCTTGTTTGTGCCTTGTCTCCGAGAACTAATGAGGACATCGACAACTGATCCTGGAATGCCACTATCTTTGAGACATCGCCTGATACACTCACTGCAACTAGAGACATCGACTTGGCTAAGGGATGACATGTTCCATCATGTGCCATCATTGGTAAGGTCCTTGTGTCGATGTATCCTAAGAGGAAAATAAACCAAACAGTTCAAGGGAACCATGAATATAATTTTGATAACTGACAATTCAAACGAGACGCAAACAAATCTCTAGGCCAGAACAATTGAGTACATACACCGTTATCTTTTAGGATTCGTAATTCAGTTTCTACCGTAGTGTAGTTGGCACTAAAGTGCAAGAGTTAAAAAGATACTGCCAAACATCCTTGTGTCATCTCTACATAACTGGAAACAATCGGATGTAGATAATTGGTTTAAAATAGAGGTAGTATTGGCCTGAACTGGGTGATGTAATGAAAAAAGAAAACCACACTGGGTATCGCTAGTACAAGTTCTGCACGATTGGTTGATGGAACAGCATTAGTTCGAGAAAGTTCTAAATATTTTCGCTGGTATACCACTATGGTGTTACTCTGTATTTAAAAACAGCTTTCACAATTTTTATATTAAAGGTAAGAACAAGTGGTGACACAACCCCCGTGCATATACTACGGAAGTCAGATGAAGACAGTAGAGAGTAATGCTGGATCGAGATAAAAAATACTCAGAGCGATCAGATCTTTTGTCTGTGAACTAACATTTGTTTAAGACTGAGCTATAAAAGTTGATTATTGGACTTTCACTTTCATCAGTAGGCCCAAATTCCACTATTACGGTGCCACTTTGTATTCCCAGTCAAACTATGAAATTTGAATTGTTCTGTAGAACAATAAAACAAAAGACACTTAATTAAACTTATTTTTAATCAAATATGTTCTGTCCACAAATGATGTCGTCAGTGGTTAATGAAAACCAGATACAATGATCCCACTACCACCGTCTGTAATTGAATATACAGTTTCTAACGTAGTGTAGTTGACACTGAATAAGTTGCAAACGGAAAATTGGAAAAATACTGTCCAACATCTTATGTCATTTTTACAAAACTGGAAGCAATCGGGAAGATTTGAAGCAGGCTTGATGAAGAAAATGGGTTTTTCATAGAGTTTGCATGAGCCTAGAATGGTTGCTAAAGAAACGCTACACCGGGTATCGTTAAGACAAGCTTCAGTACAATTGGTTGTTATAACTTGATTATAACTAGGTATTGTTATACCCTTTTCCCGGTATACCTCTGAAATATAAATTATTTATATTTATATAATGTAATATTTAGTGTAATTATGTTACTATGTTTTCTATATTTTTTTACAATTTTTGTACGAATGTACTACTCGAACGAACACTACTATTGGCTAATAGCCTTAAAGTTCCTGAATAAACATTATTATTATTATTATTATTATTAAGGACATGGAAATCACTTAAAAGCTAATTAAAAAAAAGTTAATAATTTATAGAGGGTTGGGTCGTTTTTTGGTCACTATGGGTGTTACTATAAAATATTTTCACTGTTAAAATATTACTCAAAACATCAATAGAGATATAGAAATATTAAAACAGAACTTGAATCATGTTGTTACTCAAGAGTTTAACACTATGCGATCTTCAGACGTCTAAAGTCTCTGAGTAACAATATGATTCAAGTTCTGTTTCTATCAAATATAGTATGTATAATGGAATATTAATTATTTGATTATCTCATCATACAACCCATCGTCTTTAAAACCACATCCCCTTTAATATCGCTGGAAGTTATGACATTTTAAAAGTGATTTACCGTTATAGCGTAACAGACTGAATATTATATTGAAGACAATTCTTGGAATATCTCAGTTAATCTAAAAAACAATCATAATGAGGCCATATTGTCTTCTTAACAAGAAAGATCACTTTGTTAGAAATATAAATCTTCGTCCAACTATACACAATAGACAATATTAAACCTAAATTACCTGGACAAGCTTGCTCTTCTATCCATTTACCATCTTCACCACATCTCTGAGCTCCCGTCAGACCATTTATGTCATTTAAACAGTTAAAAGTAAAAACTTGATCAAATATTCTGGATTCTGTTACAGTATCCGAGTTAGTGATATTCACACCTTGTGGACACTCTACAACTAAAATGATGAAATAAATCTATCAGGATATCAGGTAGAGATCAGTGAAATGACAAGTAAAATGTGATACCTATCCAAATCCCAATCCATAAAACTAACTTGTCCAAGATATTGTTGATTTTAAACCATAAATTTATAAAATTCTGATATAAACTGTCACCTCTATCGTGTTTACAGACGATATTTAATTAAGTTTAAGTTTATTATTTAAATCAAATTAACTGAAGACTGTATTGTGTTCAAAAAACACTTTTTGATGCCTTTCTCCTAATTCAAAAGAAAAATACTCAAAAAAATTTCATAATAAAAAAAATTGTTAAATTCGAACAATTTGTGAACCTATCGTCCGTCTTTGGCAAAGTTGAACATTATAATGTGGGCGTATAAAAACTGTTACCTTGACAAGCTTGCTGTTCTGTCCAAGTACCATTTTCACCACACCTCAGAATACCCGCCTTACCATTCTTAGTGTAGCCAACAGAACAGTCAAAAGTAAAAACTTCATCAAATATTCTGGATTCAGTTACAGAATCAGAGTTTGTTAATTTCTCGCCTTGTGGACACTCTACAGCTAAAATGATGAAATAAATCTATCAGGATATCAGGTAGAGATTAGTGAAATGACAAGTAAAATGTGATACCTATCCAAATCCCAATCCATAAAACTAACTTGTCCAAGATATTGTTGATTTTAAACCATAAAGTTAGCTATTTTCTCGCCTTGTGGACACTCTACAGCTAATATGATAAAATAGATTTATTTGAAAATGGGGTATGGTACATAGACATTTAGATAAAAGGTATGGTAAAAGGAAAAAATCGACCTGTACCTATCTTTTTTATTTCATTTCCTTACCTATCATCTTGACGAAATATCATTTTATAAAATAGCTTCCAATTTCCTTGACTTTATTTACAAAAGAAACATGTACAACTACATCACAATGTACAGAGTCTGTATAAATACTGATTTTTACCTCGACAAGTTGGATCCAAATACCATGCTCCGTTTTTACATTTGGTCTGAACTTCTGGTATATATCCGGATTGGCACTTGAATCTCTTATTTTCCTCACAGCTCTCTCTTGGTATCCACATCGTATGTATTGGCAGAATGTACTTATCACAATCTACAACAAAATAAGATAGGTGCATTACATTCAAGTATTTTCCTTAATTTAACAACGATCTACGCTCAGCAGTATGTGGCTTGCCAAATGGTTATGGAGAGTTTAAAGGAATGTTTTTCCAGTCGTATTCGATCCCAGCGATCTCTTCTATACTTACCATTGTTTCCCCAAAGCCTTTTCACCATGTTGGATTGAAGTTTAGGACTTGCCACTGGTAAGGTACCAACAAGCAAGATCCCCATCAACATCAAATTAGCGTTAGTAATCATATTGATTCGATAATCAAGTTTGATGATCAGTGATAATTATGTGAGTTTATATAGAGAATTAGAGAAAACGTGTCGTTTCACTACATTCAGCAGAAACATAAAACACGATGTGGATATAATTTTAATCTATATATGGTATATTTCTTGACATCTGGTGATTGTTATTACATTATTTATATATCTCATACTTCTATAGTTCTATGAATCCACCCTGCACTATCTACTGATTTTCGATACAAACATATCGGCTGGTGTTGGCTATTGACATTTATTTGTACTGATTATCCGTGGTCAAGAATAAGTAACGATTAATGATAAAATATAAATTATTCAGTACCAATTTACACTGGGGTCGACTGGAATCATGCTGGAAAATGACTTTTTCACTACCCATTTACACTGGGGTCGACTGGAATAATGAGGGAAAATGACTTATTTATTACCCATTTACACTGGGGTCGACTGGAATAATGAGGGAAAATGACTTATTTACTACCCATTTACACTGGGGTCGACTGGAATAATGAGGGAAAATGACTTATTTATTACCCATTTACACTGGGGTCGACTGGAATAATGAGGGAAAATGACTTATTTACTACCAATTTACACTGGGGTCGACTGGAATAATGAGGGAAAATGACTTATTTACTACCAATTTACACTGGGGTCGACTGGAATAATGAGGGAAAATGACTTATTTACTACCCATTTACACTGGGGTCGACTGGAATAATGAGGGAAAATGACTTATTTACTACCCATTTACACTGGGGTCGACTGGAATCATGAGGGAAAATGTGGAATCTTCAGAAAGTGAGAATTAAAGTTCGGTGTCTCGGACTAATATAATGTATTAACAACAACACAAAGGTGTCCCCAACGTAGACTACAATAAACGAACTTGTACCAAAGCCACGCTTTCGACACTTCCTAGCATGCCGTCATACAGTCAACAACGTGGCATGAGGTTGTAACCATCTTTTCCTCTATGTAAATCACTGTAATAAAGTTATTTAAAATACACAACGTGAAGTCCTACATTCCAGTCAGTCTTGTGTTAGCCCTAGTACATAATTTGGTGCCATGATTAGAGAAATACTTTAGAAACAACGCTGGATTTTGGTGATTGACTTTTACAGTGATACATCAACAGAGAGATAGAAGAGGTTTACAGTTTAATCGTCAGTTTATACCACAGTCATGTAGGCGGCGGAAGTCTGGATTCTTTTCATCCACAGACGTTCGAAAACGCACCATAGACAGTCAGCATCGAATTATTTGTGAAGAATTTTGGTAAAAATAATCCATTTTTATTTTTCTTTGTCTTCACGTACGTTAAAATTCACATTCAAGATGCTAAAAGATGGTGAAACGTCAGATGTTACAGAGAACCTGTCCGAAACCCACAAACGATTCGTACGAAAACGAGCTACTTTGAGAAGTTTGTTTACGAAAGAAGATCGACGAGTGAATGCCATAATCGACAATGAAGAGCCTGATTTAAAGACTTTATACGTTTTCAAAGACAAGCTTGTGAATGCCAAACACAGACTTCAAGAATATGATGACAAAATTCAAGATCTCCTTATTCAAATGAAAGGTGATCAGAGCTCTGAATATGATTTTGAAGAATGTGATATAATATCAGATAATCACTCATTGATGATTTCCTACATGCTCTTGAAAAAGCAAGTCAACTTTCTTCATTAGCCGCTACCAAATCAGCGAAGCACTCATCTGTCAAACTACCAAAGATAGTACTTCCTACATTTGATGGTGATCACCGCAAATGGTATAGCTTTTGGGATGTATTCGAAAGTGAAATTCATAGCTGTAAGGATATATCTGATGTCACAAAGTTCAACTATTTGAAAGGTCAGCTGAGTTCATGTGTCAAGAAACGTATTGAGGGTATCCAAGCCAGTAACGACAACTATGCTCTCTTGGTACAGACACTTCAAGACAATTATGGTAATCGTACTCTCATCAAAAATTCTCATTGTCTTGCTTTGGTTAACATTTTGAAACCACAGTATAATGCTTCATCTTTAAGAGCATTTTATGATGCAGTCATTGATGATATCCGATCTCTGGAGAGGTTACAGTTGTTACCTGACCATTATGGGGAATTCTACGTTCCAATTCTAATGGAAAAGCTTCCAGCTGATGTTCTAACAACAATTCTCGAGACATATACCGATGATAATCCACTTCTTATGGAGCAGATGGACATTATACATGCCGAGGTATTGGAGCAGATCACCACCATAAGTCAACAGAAAGTCAAGACTATTTCAAGGAAGCCGACAACAGATGTCAAACCAGAAACTCTTCCGTCAGGTAGTGCAACAGCCATGCCAGCTACGTCATCCACTCAGTCTTCAAAATCTTTCAAAACCAAACTTTTCAAGACCAGCTCGTCTTTGTCAATTTTGTGGTGGTCAACACAACACATTCCAGTGTACACTTTCTATCGGTGATCGTGTCAAAGCTGCCAAGTCACATAATCGGTGTATGAACTGTCTTAAAGATTCTCATTCAATTGAAAACTGTCCTTCACATTGGAGGTGCTCAATATGTAAGGAATCTCATCATACAGCAATTCATGGTTCGAATATACTACAGTCTGCGTCTACATCAGGGAAGTCACAAAGAACTGCACCTTCTGCACGGAATGGTACAACGAACGCAGCTTTTACGTGCACAGAAAGTTTAGCTGATGCATTGTCAGATGTGAGTTCTGCACAATCACAGACCTATTCTTACAAGTTACCAGAACTGCAGTCTTGCTTCGACCCAGTATTAGTTTAGAAGTTTTATTCAAAGATCAGATTGTACAACCCATTAGCTGCAATGCATGGTCAGAATGTCTACATAAAGATCATCTGAAACAACTACGATTGACGAACCAATTCGATCAACTCCATTTCGAAGTTCATATATTGATTGGTTTGGACTCCTTAAATTCCTTAAACCTGAAATCATTCTCGGGTTTCCGATGGTACAAGCATCCAGTTTGGGTTATCTTGTTTATGGTCCAGTCAACAACCAAGTATCTTCAGCTGATGGAACTGCGACGCAATGTTTGGTGGTAGTATCTTCTGGACATGGTGACGTTGAATGGATATCCACAGATCATACAGACTTTGAATTACATGACAAGGTAAACAAGTCACTGCAGATTGAATCTTTGGGTATTGAACCGTTCATTACTTAAGCCACTTTTTTGTTCTTCGTCCAGAGAGTGAAATAACTCCTTTAAGAGTCGTCTATGCTGCCAATTCTGGAAGAACGTCTCTCAACGACTGTCTCCATACAGGACCTTGTTTACTTCAACCATTATTTGAACTGTTACAAAGATTTCGACTGAACAGATACGCTCTGGTTGCTGACATAGAGAAGGCTTTTTTGAGAATTAAGCTGTTTGAACCTGATCGTGATTATGTTAGATTCCTTTGGTATACAGATGGAGATCCAACCAAACCAATTAATGTCTACAGATATACCTCTGTTTTCTTCGGTGGTAAAAGTTCACTATTCATATTGAACTCAACAGTTATCTACCACTTGTCTAAGTATGTAGCGGATCCAGACAATTTCAAATCACAGGTTGTAGCAGATCTCAAAAGCAAACTATACTGCGACAACGTTCTAAGTGGTCAAGATGAGGAATATACAGCCATCCAGTATTATCATTCAGCACGTCAGATTATGAGCGAAGCAGATATGAACCTACGTCAATGATCAACTAATCTAGAATCGCTTCAAAATATAATCAAGCAAGATGGTACTGGATCTACTAAAGAGTATACTGCTTTACTTGGTATGGTATGGAAGCATCACGCATCACGAAGATACTATTTCATTCCCGAAGAAAACAATCGTTCCATTTTCACAAGATAAGTTTACCAAACGTTCAGCTTTAAGTTCGGCCTCCTCAACGTTTGATCCATTGGGATTCCTGTCTCCTGTTACTGTCAGAACGAAGAATTTCATCTCAGAACTTTGTAAGAAGAATTATGAGTGGGATACACCTCTCCCTGCTCATCTCCATCTTGAGTACCATGATATTGCGTTGAACATCGAAGCAGCATCAACAATACGAATTCAAAGATTCGTCGACTTTGATAAAGATAAACCCATACAGCTACACACGTTCTGTGATGCAAGTCCAAATGTTGCAGCTGCAAGTGTACTGTATCTCAGTCAAAAAGATAAGATCTGCTTGATTGCCTCCAAGTTCATAAACCGCATCTCCGAAACGTCAATACACCGTACCAAGAAGGTTGCTATGGTGATTGGTTGTAGATTATCTCAATCGTCGTTGATGGATATTATTTCCAAGGATTACAAAGCAGTTGAACAGTTCTACTGGACAGACTCTAGCATATGTCTCTCATGGTTGTCATCAACCAAGAAACTGGACATTTTTGTTAGAAATCGTCTTGATGAGATTCAACGTTTGTCAGATGTCAGAAAAAGGAATCATGTCAGGTAAGAAGATAATCCAGCTGACTAGCCATCAAGAGGTTGTACAGCAGATCAATTCATCGAATCAAGATTATGGTTTTCCCGACCCGACTGGTTGCCTTATCCTGAAAAATGGCCTGAACCTGTTATTGCTGATCCTGTTATTGCTGATCCTGTTATTGCTGATCCTGTTATTGCTGATCCTGACGAACCAAATTCGAATGGTAACATTGTATGTTTATCTACTGTTGATTCAAATGAAAGTGGTTCAAATGGTACACTTAGCCAGCTTCTTGATGTCTCCAGATACAGTTCTTATGAAAAACTGCTTCGAATAGTGGTAAATTTTCAACGATTCATACAGAACTTAAAACAGCGTCATCTGGTTACTAGTCAGCATCGTGATATCACGCTAAGAGTTATCCCAGTTCCTTCAACAGAAGAAATTCAACGTGCTGAATTCAGCATTTTTGAAGCTCACCAAAAAGAATGTTTTCCAGTTGAACTCGCATACTTACTCAAGATGT